TTTGGCATCCAGAGATCATGCAAATGATGTAGCACACTGCCTAAACTCCGACTCCGGATTGGGATGCCCATTTGGATTCAAGATGCAAATATTTACATCGAGACATTGAATTATATAATTCAGCGGAAGACTGGCGTCCAATGCAGAACCGACGGCTCCGCGTTGCATTCAACTCATCTGAACAAATAGCCTCAAAGCCAGGTGACACGGCATGGGGGTAGCAAGAGTTGTCAATGATGACTTTTAAGATCTGACGCTTTTTAGGATTCACGTCTTGATCCTCAAGGATGGAATCCTCAGTTTTAGGATCCGTGGATTCGCAATCTTCGTAATTATTTTATTGTATTGAAATCCTGCGAATTCGAATCCCCAGCTAAAGGAGGAATGTTTTCAGCAAGGTCGCGAGAGGGAGCAGATAGTGTCCTAACTTTTGGCGAGCTGTACAGCCAAAACCTGGGAACGTGGACAAGAGCGTGTGCAATCGCACTGCGTCTGCAAGTTCGAGAGGTAGAAGGTACCTCCACTGCGTCTAATTTAGAACTTGAGCGTGTTACTCTCTTGACGGACCTAGGATCGAAACAGACAACTGACCTGAGGTTATATCTAGCGTAACCAAGCTTTGCTGGATGGGCTACCTGAATCATAATTATTACCTTTTGTCGTTGATATCCTAGCAGCTGGTAAAAATATCAGGATGTTTCATGATAACCGCGTAAGCAAATCGTTTTCACTTTCTGGGTGTATCCAGATGCGATTAGGTCAGAACTTCTAAACGAAAATGAGTTCATGAAAAGTCGAGACATCTCTGGGCGCACATAAATCCCAGGTGTCTCGGCTCTGAGCTGCGAGAGCCAACAGCCAAGACGGCTCGATAACCTTATTCCACTGAAGGCTCGAATGTGTTATTGTATTTGATACCGGCCACAGAACCATTCCATAAATCCCTCAGACGGCCAACGAGTCCGCCAAATAGATCAGACAGTAGTAACAGCCTCATTCCTCGGAGGAAAACCCGGAGAATGGAGGTGTAGATGTGTTGATATTTCGGTGACATGCCTTCAGCGAAACAATAGCAGAAATGAATTCAGAACTGCCTGCCCATGATCCTGATTGATTTTTCAGGCTTTTTTCAACAGCGACCCACAGGTTTTACAGCCCATCAACACCCGGGGGATTAAATGGGGCGCAATGGCCAGACACAACTACGATACAATGCATGTCCAACTAAGAATAAGAATACGCGAAAATCGTGCATATGCAACCGAGTTCAAGTGAGCTGGCATCACGCATCATGCTTCATTCAAATATGCAAGAGAGTTTAAGTAAACAGGCATCACACATCACGCATTTATTATACATGCCAGCGATTTTAGCTGAACGGGCATCACGCATCATATGTCAGGTATCATTTACATGCAAACCATTTTAAGCTAGCACACATTACACATCCAGGCACATATCACGTTCGCATAATCGACCATGATGAGCCCTGTGCGTTAAGATTTGGTCGCCAACTTTTGATAAGAATAGATTCACTTGTTTCTCTGTCTGGGTGATTCTGTGCTCTGTAGATGACTTTGAGCTCTAAACGGGGCGTGGGGTCCATATCTCGCTGGATTTCAGCCCGAATCAAATAATTAAGCATACCTTAAAAGTTACGAAACACCGAGAAAGTCAGAAACCGGTTAGTTGTCAGACGCCCAGTAAGTCAGACGCCCGGTAAAATGTCTAAAAGAGTCAAAGAATTGGTGACAAAAAAATGGCACATGTCATCGATGTAGGTTTTGTGCCTGGCTCTATCCAGGGTCATAGCCAAGGGAATGCCCAAGAGGGCCGTGGGGCTGTGGTTAGCAAAGAGGTTTACGCTAGAAACTAGGAGAGATCGACGAATTCGGTCCAAGCGCGCAGGATTTGGGAAAAAATTACACATCCTATGGGGAGAACTTTGGCCAGGTGACTGATCCTATCTCACATGAATCTGACCATTTTTTGATCTCCGAATAAGATCCTTTTTTTGGTCTCCGAATACGAATTATGGTAGTAGATAAAGTTCCGTTTAAGTGCCTCGTTGTAAGTGGTTAGGCTGTTCGGTCCCTGAACACCTTTCGTAAGTTTCAGTTTAGAAAATAACTGCATTGTTTGATGTAATTGGCCAGATTGTTTAATAACGACGACATTTATTGTCATCATTCATTTAGCAAACGACTGCATCGCTCCCTTGTAATTGATTAGCCTGCAAGGCCACCAAATACCTGCCGCGCTGATTAATTTAGGAAACGGCTCGGTGTTGATGTAGGCAAAAAGTATTAAGAAAATTATGGCCTCGGGTCAGATCGCTCAGCAATTGATTGGAATCAGATGTCCATGAAGTTAGCGACTTAATCAGCGATTTATTCAGCGGCGAGTTCCGATTTGATAAAATGTGGTTAACCAGCTCCAAGCAGTCCAGGTATTCCGTTCCAGAGACGGTTGGACGACAACGGGTCACGAGACTGCTGCTCCTGCAGATCCTGACAACCCGTGGCGGGATTTTCAATCCTCTGACGATCTTTTTTTCAGCGATGCATCTAAGGACAGCAGGTAAGCAATTTTACCGAATCAATGTGTGAAGCTGGATGAGAAGTGTTTGTATGGTCAACACTCAGGAGCGTCACTTAACATACTTTTGAGTGGCACGGGCCTCCAAGGCTAACGTGGGCCCCGATCGAAATGCATATATACAAAATAAAGAAACATCGTGGAAAGAAAACAAGGAAAATATATCTGCACTGTTAGTGCGGGTATCTGAGCACATCACTTAGTATCACACTTATTTCGCACCACATGGTAGCCTAAAGTCCTCTTCGCGCTAGTGTTACCAGACAGGAGTTTAATTTGCTATCAAGCCCGAAATGCACAAAAAAAACTAAATTAAACTTGCAGCCAGCCCCATCGCTTCGCGACAGGTCTTTGCAAATAATGGTTGATTTTGCTGCAGAGGCGCCATTGCTTGGTCATTATGTACGTGCTCGCTATTTTACGTTTGCGAATCTGGTCCCATGGTATGATGTGAACTGCCAGCTCCTGGAGAACCAGCGTGGAAAATTAAGAACCTGCAAGTCGGTGGACGCTGGAAGACCCAGGGGAGGCTGCGAACTACTGATTGGCGCTTTTTAGTAGCTTGGAGTCATCGGGAATATTATTGCACAACTTGGTGTGCAAGCAGGGCGCGCCCATCATAATCCTACGAAGCCTGAATCCCGAACCCAGCGATGGCGACCATCACAACAGGCAATGCCGAAGGACGTAGCGTCTTTACTCCAAGAATAACACTCCTTCCATCTGACATGCTCCTCGAATTTAAGCGGATACGGTTTCCTGTCAAACAGACATTCACCGTGAGAATCGGAACAAAAGCCATAGGAGGCTCAACCCGTCCACTGCCATGAGAGCCCGTGCCGTGAGTCGGGTAGTGGACCGTAATGCTATACATCAGAGGGGCACGTAAGCCCCTACCTGGCGAGCCGAGGTGGTCCAGCCTTAATGCGGTGCGACCCCTAGTGGGTAATCTGAGACTGGTGTGAGACGTCCGCAGATCATATGCTACCGTTTACCCTTGGCTTCTCGGGGGTTGAGCGTCTGGTTGCCGGGGTATTTTTGTTATTGTATGAACTGTATCACTCAAGGAATTATGTACGACCGGCAATTTCGTTGCAGCGTGTCTCATCACTGAATACGAGTACACATATCAATACACACGGCACAATTCAAATCAATCTTCAGTCGTAAAATCAGATAGGGGCATCCCAAATCGTTCCATTGCAGTGCACGCTTCTTTAGCAGGCTGGGAATCGCCGGGCATCCAGCTAATAACAAATGGATATCCTCGCAGTCGTACAGATGGCAATGACGCGTTAGTATCCACATTATTTGAAATGCTGTGCCCGTGCCTCATATCATGAAAGCTCAGTTACATTTTGAAAAAGTTCATCGAACCCTGTTTTTACATCTTAGAGATAAGTGTAACTATTATCTTGCTTTTATATGCCTATTACATTGCCGTATTTGGGGTTAGTATTTTGAGGTATTAGTGGGGCTATGAGGGCCAAGTTCTATATCGTGGGTGTCTAGCTCAACCCTGGGATGTGGTGGGGATGGGGACAGATAGAAATCAAGGGACATGAGCCCTGTGGACAGATGCAAACCCCGATTCACGCGAGACAGCTACCGAAAAATGTCGAGAAAGGTAAAGGTGTTCAGAACCGAAGTGGCGAGCTGTGCTCTGGCATTTGCGGGTGCAAGGATCTCTCCCTGGAAAGAATTGACAAGAGTGTGTTTGGGTTGTTATGTCCGCGGCATTGTGCTGTATCACGCAGTCTAGCGTTCTGTGAGATATTCGTGCTACCACTTCACCGGGACGCGGCGCATACGTTCCCACATCCCCCTCATTTTATCTGGGCACAGCTGCAAGAGTGCATGTATTCAAGTGTTCGACCTCAATAAAGCAAGTGCGTGCAAGGCTAGGTGTTCCAACTGTTTCGTGAGTGTTCTGACCCCGTTACACCTTGGGTCCAACCCCGTCAGGCCTGTTTATTGTTCAAAACCTATCGGTGCGCCATCTGAGAGACGCCATCTGCTTGCCGGTACCTAACGCCATCTGCCAAAGGCCGTTGGCCGGATTTCTAGGTGACTGAAGAGATTATACCACGGCAAACGATCAAAAGATTTGAGAACGACACAGCGCTTTCAATGACCCTTTCACACCAGGTCTAATTTAGGATTGCTCCATGATCGAGAGCAGACTTATCACCTCCCATTTAGTTGTCTTCACGGCTTTCACTCGCCACGTTACCATGACGTCACTGCAACGTCGCGCATCGGTGTTGACGTAACTGTGCGCGTGTGTTCAACTCACGCTCGTATTGTATATGTAGCGATTCATTCCGACGTCGCTCCAACCAAGGTACAAAAGCGTCGTAAAAGCCTAGTTTTGATTAGGGCTTCCTAGCTTACGCAGAACTTTTGATCTTTTATTGAACATTACGGTTTGTGGACATTGTCCGCGCTTTTGCTTCAGCCAAAGTGTGACCGGCATTTCCCGTGCTTCTGTTGATACGATCATTGAGGGTTTTGGCTGGTAGGTGGTGGCAAATCTAGCAATCAGGCCTATCTGTAAGTATGGTTATTGACAACGAGCACATGCAAATATTCGTTTGTTCAGTGTCTAGCTTAATGTGTGCATGATACTTCACGTAGATATCAAAAAGTGACATGTGGCTTCCTGCGCCCAAACCCTGAACTAAAAACTCAAACGCCCAGGCTTGGTTGCTGTTTGTGACAGTGGTTGAATTGTAGATGCTTATATGACGGTCTGTTCGCCTTCTTTTCTGATGGGTGCCTTCTTTCACAGGTCAAACTTCATTGTTCTTCATGATGAATTATCTCTACATGACAATGATCTGGGGGCTGATGGCTGGGTCACTGGGTATGTAAAGTTCTTTGTGATGTTTTGTTTGAGTTCCCTGAACCTCTGTCTTCATTGTTAAGTATTTTCTCCTTCATAACTTGAATGTTTGAAGTTCATGCACAAGGTCTGACATAATTATGGGTCGTGGTCAACATTCTGCACATAGCTGCTTAGCAGCAGAGGCTGACATGAAGTTGGGGGAGCAACATGTTAGTCAGTAATTGTTTTGAAGCTATCCAATGTTATGCAATGTATTAAGGCCAATGTTGGAAATAGGTGTTAGAAGGGTAGGTGCTGCCCTGTCCCTCTGCCTATGTTTTGTGTTTGGAACTGCTATCTTATAGACACAAGAGCTGTTACTGATGGTATATGTACATGACATTACTTCTAAAAGTTAGAACTTGCTCAGCATATCATGTCTAGCAAAAAAATGTTACTAAGGTTACTAACAAAACACATGGTTGAAATCTTCCATACATCAAAGCTGTTATGGTTAAATTCAGCTTTGCTTACCAAATATGATAATGAAGGCCTTTCTTGACATAAAACTATTGCTGAATATCAAAGCTGCATCAAACAAATCCTCAAACATCTTCAGTATGAAGTTATTATCACAATAGTTCATACAGGACTTATATATCACATTGCATTTGCTGACCCAGATTCTATGGTATGGCCTATGGTATGGTCTATATGGTCAAGTGTACAACACATTAGTGTTGTCTTTAGTGTACAACATATTGAGCTAAAGAGAACCCAATTCTGCCTCATGGGCAAATGGTTTGTTGTGATGTTTTTTTGTGATCATTGTCAAAGTAACATGATACAAAAATTACAAAATACATAGTGTGATATTTTTTGAATAATTGATGGTATAAAATAATATGTGATATTTTGAAAGCCATCAAAGGCCTTCCAAACATCATCCAATATATGACCTATAGGTAAAGGTATGCCAACTTGTCCATAGGCCCCAGCTGGCCTACATAATAACAAGTGAAAAAATTATTGTAAGATTCAGTAGGCTTCACCAAAAGAAGCATGCACAATTTGAGCCAGTCATGCTGTTGTCACCATCTTCTGTAAGTTATCACCCACAGTCCTATTCAAAACCCAAAGTTGGACCTGCTGCCTGATCTTGTCTATATGAGGTTGCCCAAGGATTTCCAGTTTTTAATGTAAAAAAGCCATATCCTGCAAATCGTTAACCCAAGGCACCATCTGTTTGGCTTTACTCAAATGTCATGAAAAGAAAGGAAGCAGTTGGAGGTAAGTGATGTTCATCACAGGATTTCATCAAGACAATTCTAGCATGCATTTCAGGATGACCTTACCCCATCAGCACATGATGACAGAAGTGGCTGCCAAAAAAGAACAAAAAGTGATGCAAGCTGCAAATGCCAGTAGAATTAGTACTGGTGGCTATGAGTCCATCTCATCTCAATTTGGAAGTCCCGTGGCCAAGGAATATGTGGCATTGTACACAATGAGGGTTTCTTTCTCATGTTTCAAAAAGTAGTGCTTTCTATTGTGCTCTATCAGTGGCTTGTGTGTATTTCAGATTCAGATTATTTTGAAAACAAGCAACATTAAATGAGTATTCTATGCTTACCAATTTGTGACAAGAAAACCATACTGGTTGGCAAAATAATTTTAATGATTTTTCCTTCCCTCTGTCTAGTTTCCAAATTGAACAATGAAAATTTTTTTTCAAATTTCCAAGATTTGTACTTCAATCAGCACCTCTAATGGGGGCATCTGTGAGAAAACTGGTAACCCATCACCTAATAGTTTGAACACATCTAGTTTCTTTCTCACCCATTGCAATTTCACTTACGTTCGCACGATATGGCACGGATGTAATCAGATCAGCGAGTTCGAGGCCCAGGGCAGTACACATCACTTCTCAGCAATATTTGTTGCACGTCTAACGTCGTGCCATGCCGTTGCTCAGTGCCGTGACGCCCGTGTTCACCGGCAGCGACTGACGCCTGCCAGAGCCCGACGATCGAGGCTGAGTCCTACACGTCCATGGACGCCACCATCGTCACCAACATCGCCTACATCGCCACATTCTCTCTGAAGTGCGCCAATGGCGTCACGGTACGCAGTTCGTGCCGCCATCGCCGGTCGCCGGAATAGCTGGTGGGATGTCACCCTGTGTGGGAGATGTCGAATCGGCCACAATTTCCTGGCGATTGCTAATAGCCCCGACGCCACTCTTCGTCCAGAGACCCCACATGTTTAATCGCCTGACTGCACAACTTTGGTGGTGACGATTTTTGTTTTAACACATATATGGGTTTGAGCTATTATTGTCGCCAACTCTCAAAAGTTGTCACGTTTGATATTTACAAACGCCAGCCTGCTCTTGCATGTTGGTTGTCCGTCCTCCGCGAGACGGCAATGGCTTGGCTGGAATATACTGCAAGTAAATCGAATGAATGGCAATGCGGGTTCCTTCCGTTGTGGAATTGTGTATCGTTGACTGTCGGTGCGTCAGTCTGCAAGCGACCGTGGGTGACACCTGCCACCTGGGGCCCGGTGGCCGGTGTGGCTCCTCCGCCAGTCCTGTCGTTCCATCCGTCGTTTCACTATCGCTCTGCATGTGGTCATCGGTGATGTGTGGTACCTGCA